GTTGCATCTGCTGCAGAGCCAGCCGGGGAAGGCACTGGGCAAGGGAAAGCAGAGCTGGACGGCACCGTCAGTGCCAGCAAACAGTGGGGCGAGTCCTTGCTCTGCTAGCAGCCAGGACAGGCGATGGCATCTGGGCTCCAGGGCAGATTACAGACCCTTCGTGTATTAACGCAGCCATGAATGTGCCCTCATGTCCCCAGCCTGGCACCGCACAGACAGTCTGGTCTCTATCCCGGCAGCCCAGTGTCCTCAAACCTGCTGTTCACCTGCTCCCATTCGCGAGATGCAAGCAAGCAGCTGGGCAGCCTGCTGCAGCGCGTCTGCTGCAGGCACGAGTGCCCTCTCTGGGCACGGGGTGGGGGCCTGTCCACCGCTGCAGGGCACAGGGACACCAAAGGAAGGCGGCCTCTCTGCCCCCTGCCTTGCTGCAGCCAAAACCCCACCGGGAAGAGGAGCGCGACAAGGAATTGCTCCTACCTTCGCAGAAGAACATGTCCCAGACACGCAGCACGGAGCTCCAGGGCAGCGTGCGGGAGAAGGCGCACATGAACCACTCCGTCATGTACAGGATGGGGTCGATCTTCTGCTTACTCAGATGTTTGTAGGCCACTGGTGAGACCTTGTGCAGCAGCGAGAAGAGGATCTGCCCGTCCAGCTGGATGGCCTCCTGCAGGGAGAACACCGGCACTGAGCTCTGCGGTGAGGGGTTACACCCGGGGTAGAGGGCTCAGCTGGGAGCTGGGCTTCAGCTCCCCAGTGCTCAGCCCTGGCCCCAACACCCCTGACCAAGAAAAACAGAATAATCTCCTGGTCAGGATAAGGGACTGGAACTGTGCCCCATGGATGCCAGAAGCTGAGCCCCAAATCCCTCCCCACTGGGTGCCAAGGGGAGCCCTGGCACCACGTGGATCCCGTGGGAGCACTCCCCTCTGCCCTCCTTTTTCCACAGGCGTAAGGACCCGGGGCAGCTCACGGCCCACAGATGGGTCGAACCCCCTGCAGTCCCCAGAGGCCAGCCCTTCACTCACCAGCTTCTCGCTGTAGTAGCCGGGCAGGTACTTCTCGCAGATCTGCACCAGGCACCAGAACGCTTGCTGCAAGGTGAGACACAGCGGGTGAGTGCCCAGTGCCCCCATGGCACCAAGGGACAGGGGAGGGGAAGGAGGCTCGGCTGGGGCAGGAGGTGGCAGAGCCACCTGGGCTGAAGGACACAGCCCCAGGGTGGCCGAGCACCGGAGCAAGCAGGTCCCAAGAGCAAGGCTGGGCAGCGCGTTCCAGGAGGAGACGGTGCCGGGCTCCCACCTCTGCCCAGGCAGCAGGGGGGCTCTGTAAAGCACCCCACACTGCAGGCACAGCCTAGGTTTCACTGAGCGGCTCGGGCAGCCCCCGTGCACGCAGAGCAGGTTGGAGCCTGGGGCTCAGCTCGGGCAGGGCTGTGAGCCCCCTGCAGCAGCAGCCGCCCCTGCCTTCCCCC